TGTCTCCATCCTCTTTACATTCCCTCCTCAGATATCTTCTTTACATTTTCTCCTCAGGTATGTATATACATTGATGAATCACCTCCCAGTCTTCTCCTTCCCAGGCCAAACAGGCCCAGCTCACTTAGTCCTTCCTCACGAGACAGATGCTGCAGTCCCTTAATCATCTTTGTTGCTCTGTGCTTGACCCTCTCTGGAAGTTCCCCGTCTGCCCAGAACTGCACCCAGTACTCCAGGTGCAGCCTCATCAGAGCTGAGGAGAGGAGCAGGATCCCCTCCCTCGACCTGCTGGCAACACTTGTCCTCATGCAGGCTAGGGTCCTATTTGGCCTTCTTGGCCACAAGGGCATACTGCTGCCTCATGGTTAACTTGTTGTCAACCAGGACTCCCAAATCTCTCTCTGCAGAGGGTGATGGTTGTGCTCTTTCCCCAGCTTAACCTGACTTCTCATATGTAGCCCTATATAATTGTAAACTACCACATTATCTGGTCCTGGTATTTGCCTCCCTGATTTCTTCCCTCACTCAGAGTTTAACCATCAATAAAAAATCTGATGACTGCATCCTGATGGGGAGATAAGGCTAATTGTGTGTACACCAGCAAACAGTCATGTCTGAATTGAAAGAATGACTATAAATCAATCATCTTAACCCATAAATATGGGGACAGCCCAACAGCCCACTGAGCTCTCTTTGCATGGCAGCAGGCTGCATGCTGGGATCTCCCCTTTGGCAGGGACCCCTCTCAGGGATACTTCTCGAGGTTAAGAGTTCCTTCCCACTACAGATTCATGGTAAGTGACTATATGTGCTCTTTTTCTGAACTTGTAAACTTTACTTTGGAACTGTGCACAAATCCCTTAGTCATAAACCGTTGACTAGGTCTGGGACTAGGATTGGATCCAGTCACACCCAGAATCCTCTCAGAAGGAGTTTGGAAAGCAAGGGGGTCCAATCTGAACCTCATGACTCAACGGCAGGGTGTTCTTGATATTTCTGTGGGTATCTTGAACCTCCATGCAGTAAATAATAAATGACCTTGCCATAGAATCTTGTGAAACCATTGTCTTTATCAATAAAACTTATTCCTATTTCTTTCTCACAAGTGAAGTGCATTGTGTCACTTACCCCCCATCATCACTCGTTCTGTGACACAGAGCTGCTTTCCAATAGGTCAACCCCTAATCTGTACTGGTGCCTGGGGTTATTCCTCCCCAGGTGCAGGACCCTGCACTTGTCCTTGTTGAACCTCAGGAGGTTCCTCTCTGCCCAACTCTCCAACCTATCTAGGTCCCCCTGGATAGAAGCACAGCCCTCAGGAGTGTCATTCAGGTTGGTCAAACATGACTTACCCTTGGTGAATCCATGTCAACTACTCCTAATCACTTTCTTTTCCTTCACATGCCTAGAAATGGTCTCTAGGATGAGCTGTTCCATCACCTTTCCAGGGACGGTGGTGAGGCTGACTGGCCTCCAGTTTCCCAGCCAGTCCTCTTGCCCTTTTTGAAGACCAGTGTGATATGCTGGTTTCTTCCAGTCCTCCCACACCTCTTCCACTCCCCATGACCTCTCAAAGATGATGGAGAGAGGCAGAGCAATAACTCCCGCCAGTCCCCTCAGCACTCTTGGCTGCATCCCATCCAGACCCATAGATTTATGGGTGTCCAGTTTGCCTAAAAAATCTATAACACAATCCTCCTCAACTAGTGCAAAGTCTTCCTCTCTTCCCGTTATCTATCCTGTGTCCAGGCTCTGTAGTTTGTGGGGACTGGCCTTAGCAGTAAAGACAGAAGCAAAGAAGGCATCTAGTAACTCTGCCTTCACTGCATCCTCCGTCACCAAGGTACCCATCCCTTTCAGCAGTGGGCCCGCATTTTCCCTGTTCTTCCTTTTGCTGCTGATGTGTTTGGAGAAGCCCTTCCTGTTCTCCCTGGCAACACTTGCTAGCTCTGATTTCAAACGGGCATTGGCACTTCTCGTTGCATCCTTGCATTTTCTGACAATGTTCCTCTATTCTTCCCATGTAGTCTGGCCCTTCTTCCACATCATGTATGCTCTGTTTTTCTCTTTAAGTGTTCCCAAGAAAAATTTTATCAAGAAATAAAATCACATTTTCCTAACTAAGATGTTTTTTTCTGGTTTCCCTCTGAAAATTTTGGCTAACTTTATTAAAAAGTCTTTACCTGTCCTTAACACTTAGTACAAAATTTATGGAATCAAAGAATTAAAAAATATAAAGAAGGAATTAAGACAGAAAATATTGAATCATCAGAATGAATTATTCCCTCTATTTCCAGGCATAGAAGATAGAACATTGCTAGTTATTAAGTAATGCAAATGTCCTGCCAAATTCCTGCTCTTTCTCAGAACTGGATTTCCAGGAGCAGCCCAGACCTGTCACAACCTGATATTTACTGCTTGTTTCACTGTTGTCTACACCTGAAATGAGCTGTCATGTAGAAAGCTCTCCAAGTGTCTTTACATTGCCCTATTTGCTACATGAGACTACAGTTTGTGGGAGTTAACATGACTAAGCACTCACCACAAGCATAATTCTGTCTTTTAAATAATGATCCAGGTGTCCAATCACTTTCCCTGGCCTTTATTGAGTCTTTTTGACAGACCACAGAACAGAGTACTTACAAGTTAGGTGCTGCTGGTACCAACAAGAAGATACTCTAAGTCTTTCAATACGCCACATTTAGCAACCCCTCTTGTGTAAAGAGAATTTTAAGTATTCTTTACGAACATCTTCGCACCCATCCTATTCCTTGTCAGGTGCTTGCATCCCTGGTGTCACTGTAATCATACAAGTGGCTCTACTGAGCTCCAAAAGAAGTGGTTGGTGCAGTAACCTAGGAGTCAAAGTTGAGTCCAAGTCTCCTGATCCTGTCTCAGTCCATAGCCTCTGGAAACACAGCCGCACTTGCAGAGCTGCTTCTGCAGTTTCTTTTAACAGCTGCACCTCTAAAGACAGCAGCTCTTAAGGACATTTCCTGAAGTTCATGTAAAACAGCTTGACACATGAAGCTTCTCCAACATGGTCTGTGCATGGTCTCTGCTCCAATCTAGAGGTTTTGATCAGATCTTGATATGAAAATTTGGTTTTATAAATGATCTCATACTGAATCTATTAACCTGAAATTTTGAGCAAGCAGTGTAATCATTTACTCAAGCAATACCAAATGCCCCAAAATACAGAACAGCTCCTGGCCTATTACTGCCATCAAAGTGTATAACTGATATGGTACACTATCTGTCTACATATAAACTCAGATGACAATTAGGTTTCCATAAAATGATGAAGCAGTAGTCATCTGGTCTCTGTACTTCAGGGTGTCCACATGTCTTTTCTGCTTTTCTACATGTTTGTCACTCTTTTGTTTTTTCTTTTCCACTTCAATCTTTCATGTTTCTTCTCTTTTAATATCTAAACAACTTCTCTTTTTCTGGGGCATGGGAGACACTACCAATCAAGAAGTCCTTGAGCTTAGTACGTATGAGATACCTGGTGACAGCTATCACTTGGATTAACCCAAGTCGAACACATTTTGACATATAATTATTCTCCTCAGCATAATTTCAGAGTTTTGTTTGAAACCAAAACTTGCTCTATACTTTAGAGTTTTAAACCAAACTGCAGTCTGTTTGTACTTCTTAAATTACTAATATTCAAAGCACGATACTGTTTCTGTAAACAAAAGCAATTGCAAGTCACCTAGGGAACAAGCTGAGCATACAGAACAAGATGCCACAGAAGAGCAGAGCTCACAGTCTTAGCTCATCAACTTACTAAACAGTAATATCTCACAGTGATTTTGGGAGTTTCCAGACGACAGGAAAAATGTTGCTCATTGCAGGAGAGAAAAAAAAAAAAGATACAGACATAGAACTAGAAAAGTAATTAATTCATATTCTACAAGGAGATAAATGTGGCTGTTAAAGTTGTCACTAGCAGAACAGCTGCCCCAAGACAACTTCCTTCCAGAAACCTCACTCTAATAAATCCTCAAGGTGTCTATTACATGTCCAGACCAGTAAAAGACCATGTGCATCTTGTTGCTGTGTTTGATTTTATCTGCATATAGATAAAATATATAGATATATAGATATATAGATAAAACATCTGTATGGAGTAGCTCTTTCTAAACTCCAACCTTAACAAGTAGATAATCTGTCCAGTCGTATGTAGACCGTTTGTTTGAAGGCTTTAATAAATTCTGCTCAAAAGTTATTTTGCAGTCCAAAAATTCCCCAAATTTCACAGTTTCTTTATTTTCTTGTTCTTCTCTTGTTCTGGTCATTGCATTTGATGCAACTCATATCCAAAAGGACCAAGTCACACCCTACTGCACTCTTAAGCATCAGGGACATAGCTTTGCTAAAATACTCCTGAAGTCAAGCCAACTTTCCTTTTAAAATAGAAGGCCAGAGATTAAATCTTTTACTGAAAGTGGAACATAAAGCTGAGTCATATGAAAGAAACACTCTCAAACATTGCCATAGTACTAACTACAATGTTTTCTTTACATTTATGTCTAATATATCATGACATCCAGACAGGATCATCATCTTTTACTCTATTGTACAATGTATGGAAATGAGAAAAATAATGCCTAAAGATTCTCTGATATAAGGCTAAAAAAAAAAAAATAAGCCACAGAAATAATTATCTAAGACAAAGTAAAATTAAGGTGGAAAATATCTGGTTTCTAGTATGTTTTTCATATTTAATATCAGTACTCACTTCTGATCTGTTGTCTGTGTACTAGGGACTATTACCTGTAAGATGACTAACAATCTATCTCGAACATATTTCAAAGAGCTAAAATATCAGGCTCAAGAAATACAAATGAAAGAAGAAATATTCATAATACTATACACTTTACATTTGATATGGACAGGTAATTCTAAAATATAAAAAAGGAATTTAAAATTCTCACATACATCAGGGATGCTATACGAGGTATTATGCTTTATTACCTTCCAGAAGTACTTACTTTCTATCTCCTTAATTTTCATTTCCCAGGGTATGCAGGCTGTCTTAAAGTTTTCAAAATCTCTTTGAAATTTCATCCATTTCTGAAAGGGTCACATAAAAATAAATAAATAAATAACATAATCATCTTACAACAAAACCGCTAGCTCTGCCTGGCGACTATCTGGGATGTACTGCCTTTTAACTATTTCTTCTTTGAAAAAGAAAAGGCAATGAGGCTGACTCAGGCCAGAGCTCCATCTATCCCATATCTAACAGCCTAACAGCAGTCAAAAGTGGGTGCCAGGAGTAGAGAGTACGTAACACTACCTTCTTAGTACTCTCCTAGGTACCATTTTTTTTCAGCTCTCAGTTCTTAAGCCAGATGGGGGTTATTAGATACCTCCTTTGATGGATTTCCCTGCCATGACCTTTCCCTGTTGCCTCTTGAGTCAATGTAATCCCTTAATCATCCACAGAATCCTTTGGCAAAGAGCATTGCATCAAAGCACTAATGTGTGAAGAACCATCTCCTTCTATTCCTTTTGACTGTGGCTTCTTTTGAAGTCTCTATTTCTTCCACAAGAAAAATGATTAAATCATATCATTCATTTCTGAGGATTGCTTCTGAGAATTAAATTTGTTCTCTCCTTTGCTATCCAAAATTCAGATCTAGAGCTCAAGCTGTGTTATTTAATTGCAACTACTTAAACCAGTATTTTATCTATTGGATAAGAATAACTTTTATAATTGAGCTTCTTGTGCACAGCTGAGTTTGAAACTCTATTTTTTTTTAATATTAATGCTAATTAAATGTGATTGCACAAAAATATGTACTCACAAAAATGAGACAGTTGCCTACAGAAAAGACAGTTAAACTAAGAGCATACCTGGCCATAGTATGTAGTAGGGCACTCTTAGGATGTTTCTGCATAGCATTTGAGTTCAAAGCAGGAGCATACTTTATAAATGAAGCCCAGCTTGCCACACTGTGCTTTGCTTTGTGCTGCAGAGTGGTGTCAGAGCACTCATTAAGTCAAAAGATGCACTCTACAAGTGCACTAATCCATGCCAGCTGAAACTGGGCAGTCCATGGAATCACACTGGACTTGAACGAAGGTAAAACCTGCCAGGACACATGGTCCTCAGCAGCAACCGGTTGACCCTTCCATCACACTCCTGTTGAGCCACATAATGTGCTGACTTGACACAGCCCTGGCATATAGGCTGAAAGGAAAAGTCAAGAGTATTTCTGCTGGGAGGGAAAATGCACTTCCTGATCTTTCATCTGCCTAAGAAAAACACCAGGCTTGGGATCTGGTTCATATATAAAAGCCAAGGTACACCCATACAAAGCTAAACTCTCAAAAAAGTTGTTTTTGTCTAGATGATAAGTCTCAATCAAGCTCTGAGTTTGGATTGGAAATGCAGTCGCAAGACAGCAATGGGAAAAGGGTTAAAATGTAAATAAGACAGGGAAATTTACTTGGAAAGACGTAGACATATGTCAACATCTACAATCTCTCTGTCTGTATTACATGAAGTTAATGAAATAGTATATTTACCTTGGTCATCATCACTTTGTATGCATAGAACTTTTTTCCTTTTCCTTTCCCAAGGGCACCTTCAAACTTTTCAACAAAAAGTTGGGCTTCCCTGGAAATGAGAGAGAAGAGAGATACAGATGATGTAATAGGATACACACAGGATACTGTCTCTTCCAATGTAACCACTCCCCATCACAGATTTTTGCATAACAGTGTTCCTTAGCAATATGCAGAAAAAAAAATGTTCCAAGAGGTTTTATTTCACAGAAGACTAGTCAAAGGTACTGCAAACAGAATACACAACCTGAGTCACTGCTCTAATTCAAATGTATTTGATTACATCCCGTTAGTTATCCAACATTTGTTTTTTCAGTGACTTTCATTAAAAGTTCAACTACTGTCCATTTACATCACTTCTTATAAACTGTTATTCACCTTTTGGGCCGCTGGTTCTTGTCCATCTACCAAACAGAATTTTATTTTATTTTATTTTATTTTATTTTATTTTATTTTATTTTATTTTATTTTATTTTAATTTTGGTTTGGTTTGGTTAGGTTTGGTTAGGTTTGTTTTTTTTTTTGCAGAGGTGCATACACTTACGGCTCTCATTCTCCTAGACTAGCTTTAATTCATTCCTTCAGAATATTTGACTAAATTATACCTAACTGTATTATTCTCAATCAGTTCTCACATGTGCGGCTTCAGTGGTCCCAAAAATATTATTTTTTACTCTTTAAAGGGAATGTACTAATATTTACTCCATTGTTTTTCTATGGAGGAAATAAGCCTTCCAGGCCATGCATAAAACACTGGAAAATAAAGTGATATTTCTTAGCTTTAGATGTATACACCATAGTGAATATCTACTTTGCCATCAAGCCAGACTATTGCAAAGCATTGTGTATTATATTATTTGCTTATTCACACTAAGCACTTGGGGAAATGCAGAGAATTAGAAAAGTGTTAATTGTGAGGCACACCTTCCTAGAAGCTATGCAGATAAGTTCACTGAGTGAAATTATCTTGCTTATAGCTGCATCCCACAGATTTAAGTCACATGAAGAAACGAAAAGATTGTCAAACTGCAAAAAAGACCCCAAATTCCCAAGATAATGCATCTGAGCTCAGTTTCTTTTTTGAATTCAGGTTGGCAGAAGACTACAGCGTTTATCCCAAGCCCATCATTCTTTATTTTGATGTGGCCCAAGACACACACATTCAGATGGAAAAATAAAAGGCCTCACACAACCACCACCAGCAGCGCGCGTATCCCATCCCTTTACTCCACCAGTGTTCTTCAGGAAGCAAGTCTTTGTTAAGGCTTTAGATTTCTAATACAGCATTTTGTTCTGGATCTTGGAGTCTGATCTTTCTATGCTTTGCATAACTTTAATGATCTTTCTATGCTTTAAATAACTTTAATGCTCAATGAGCCTTTAATTTTCTCTTTTGAGACAGACCTCTAAGCCCTTCAGAGATTTTCTTGCTCAGCAGTAACATCTCATACTTTAATTCTGATTCTCAAACAAGTCTTTTCTTCAATCCTAGCCATCTCATACAAGTTAGGGAAAATGAATTCTTCCAGCATTCAGGAATCCCACTTAAATCCATGTCCAGAAGGTTAAAAATCTTGCGTTACCTGGAGAGAGATAAAGCAATCCTAACAGCAGATGGCAGCTTCCCTGTAAACTCGGGAGTCAGTGATGGAGTTCCATAAAAGCAGGCAGTATAAACTGTGCTTGTACTGGGCTTGCAATCACACGATAATTTTGATTTGAGAAGAGGAAAATCTTCTACAAATCGCTACTGCCAGTGATTGAAGCAGTGGAATAGATTCATGAAAAAATACTGAAAGCAAAACCTATAAAGCAATAGAAATACTGTTTTCCAGATCTTGCTGTTTCTTCCAGATCTCCAGGGTTAATGTTTCTGGCTTTCCTGAATGCTTCCCTGGTTTTCACTTTGCCAATGGCTACATTCTCCCCTTTCCCTCCCTTTCTTTCTTTGCCAAAAGCTATCACCTCTGGTTATAAAAAGAAGGTATTTCAAACAAACATAACAAACTATGGCTAATAGTATTGACCATTTCTATGAATTAACAGCCAAAGTCTTCATATAGCAAGTAAAACAAAGAACATGCTGCATGATATTATTATGCAGATGAAAGAAATGGGTAATTATTTTGTAGAATGGAGGAAAGTCCCTTTTATGTGTCAGAAATGTTGGAAGCGTGTCTTGCCCTTTTTTTGTGTTCAGTGGATTTCTCTTTACCAATGACATTTTAAAGAGTATTTTCATACCTGAGGCTAAATCTAATTTTGAGAGACTAAGTCTCATAAGAAAACCCAACCATATACAAGCATATAGAGGAGTTATGTGTCCCATAGCAGCCTATCTATTAGCTGTAGCCATGAATATTTGCAAGAGTAATTTACAGATCTTATTTGATTGGTAGTTAAATGCACATCTCTGTAACAATTTTATTCTATGAAAAACTCCCACTGGAGTTTTAATGAAATGAGTGAAAAGCAAATTTACTGCAGACACAGAGCTTAAAAGAGGACCTATGGGTAATGAGGCAGAGAATGTTTGGTGCAGTTGGACAAGGCAGTATTAGGGAAGGTGTAACTACCAGCTGATGCTGGAACCATCAAACAAAATGTGTTTTCCTTCCGTATCTTGTCCTTTCTTTCCTCTGCAGCCCACTGCAGTTCCACTGCACTCCAGTTCCACTGGGTCACTCCTGACTTCTCTGATATGCGGGGAAAAAAAATTCGCATTTCTGCTTAGGCTTTGTGGCTTTAAAAATTCAACAACAACACAGCAGTATTCACTCACAGAAAGGGGGTTGCAGTGGCCTTTCCAAGTCTGTGGCACAAGTTCTTTTTTTTTTTTTTTTTTTTGGTTAATTAGCAGTCTTTAACCAGGAGTCCTATTTTATACAGCCAAAAAACTCTCACATATATATGCACACCTGCTTGGAAGTAATGCAACTTAGCTAACATGAGGACGTGTCAAAAACAACACAGAGAGACAAAAACAAGCTTTGTAATCACTGGTATCATGTGTTATAGGTAAATTATCTATATCACAAGATAGGCCAAAGTGTACCCCGTTAGCTAACTGTGAATTTAAAGAAGCTTCAGAGAAACCTTATTAATTGAATTACCAACACAAGGAACTAATAAATGTTGCATGGGGCCAGGCATTATTGTCCCAGAGAAGCCTGAGTTAATTATTAATAGTAGGTGTGGAGTTTCACCTTCCAAAGTGCTAGGTGTACGGTACTTTGAGCACTTCAGCATTACAGAGAAGGGATGAATTACAGCTCTCAGAGGTTGTTGCTAATGAATAGGATTCAAGTGGATTGCTCGCATTTTTCAGTAACAGTTCAGGAGGGTTTCAGTCTCCAAGATCTAAAAACTCATTAAAAAGAAATGTCGTATTAATATTAATCACCTAGGATTTATCCAAGTCTTGAAAAGATTGGCTAAAAACTGACAGCCAAACAAATGTTGCCAGGCAAGGGCTCACTTGAAAAGCAGTTCAGCAGCAATAATGGGCAAATTATAGTGTAATTTAATACCCATCTGGCCTCACGGACTGCTATGGTGGCCTTGGGGACTGCTAGTATGTTCACAATAAAAGAGCTGAAATACAGATACTCTTGAATATAAAGACAATATCCAAGGAAGTTTCCTCCATCTCACAAAATCACCTTATGAATCTTTGGGGTTTCGGAATACTTGCATAATATTTTGGTTTTGTTTGGTCTGCTTTGATGGATAACCTGAAATCCCAAATAAAACAAGTGGCACTAAAGAAAAGATATTTAAACCTCATTGTACAATACTCTGTCCCTGACCATGAAGAAGAGATTACTCCTTGGATTATTTACAGAAACTAAAAGCATCTTCCGGATCTCTTTATAGTCTGCATTTAATTGGGAATCTTCTAAAAACCATGAGCTTGACATTTCACATCTTTCTTTTTCATAACACTATTTTGTTTGTTTTGATAGTTTTCTAATTGGCTTGTGGTATACCTCTAAACTGAGACTACTATTAGCGCTTTTCTAAGTCCTTGTGTACAATTCTCTGATTACACGGTAACTTAATAGTCTTGCTAATAGATATAAATTGCATGACTGCTAATAGCCCTTCCTATTTTGTAGCACAAATCTTTACGTAAAATGTGGATTATACTAATAAGGAAAATAAGATTACTATTCAGGAGTCAAACACAGTAGAATAGCTCTTTAAGTCTTTCTCTTGCTTGCATATATGTGCAAAAAGCTAACTTGGAGAAGGACCAGAAAGGGACACAATCCCCCCAAGCAGACACTTGGCTAGAAAATGGCATCACTTTTTCTGGAGTTTTTCCAGTTTACAGAAACTCAAGCTGTGGTCCCATGAGTTTTATCTTTTGTACCATTTTCTAATCCAGAAAATGTCTTACTAGTTCCTCTAAATCTCACTCTGATAAGAAACAAGTGATGGTCTTTAACAGCTGATAGCTTTTCAGGTAGTCTTGGGCTGATGTAGGTAGTTGATTTTGAAAGGAAAAATGCACAAAAAATCATCTCCTACAGAAAGGGCATACCTACAGCACTCATAAAACCTCCAAAACAGTGGGAGGAAAAAGCAAGTGTCCACAACGCTATTCTGAAAGAAGGCATTTTTCTATGAGAATTTTCTAACGCAGGCCTCCAGCGTGGGCTGCCATGTCCTATGCTCACAGCCAGATTCATTTACTGATAAGGCCTGGAGACAGGGGATGCACACTGATGGTCTCCTTAGCCCACCACTTCATGCCTCTCCTTGCCTTTACCTCCCTCCTTTCCCCTCTCCTGGGAAGGTCTCCTTATGGCGTAGCTGGTGGGGCTGGAGCCCCACCAAAGTGAAGCAGTGGGAGCAGTGGCCCCAGGAGCTTATCCTCATTCCTGGATCTTCAGAGAATAATCAGAGGCTATTTGAAATGCATCCTTTAGATGCAAGGAGGTCAACTAGAAATTAGAGCTGATCTAATTTTGTAGTGCAACTTGATTGAGAGTCATTTCAGAAATGAGTTTTTAAGTCTGGTTTCAGAAAAAGGTGTTTTCTACAAAGCATGTAGTTGGGCAATTGTGTTCTAAAATTAACTGCTGATTCACACATCTCAGAACAAAAGACTGAAGGAAAAGATTAACTTTTTTACAAAGCACTTACTATGGTTGAATAGAAATTGGCTTTCCCATCCTGTAGAAAAGGAAAAAGAGAAAAGAATAAAAAGAAAAAGAAAAAGAAAAAGAAAAAGAAAAAGAAAAAGAAAAAGAAAAAGAAAAAGAAAAAGAAAAAAAAAAGAAAAAGAAAAAGAAAAAGAAAAAGAAAAAGAAAAAGAAAAAGAAAAAGAAAAAGAAAAAGAAAAAGAAAAAGAAAAAGAAGAAGAAAAAGAAAAAAAAAGAAAAAGAAAAAGGGAAAGAAAAAGAAAAAGAAAAAGAAAAAGAAAAAGAAAAAGAAGAAAAGGAAAAGAAAAAAGAGGAAGGAGAAGCTCCCTAAGGAACATCTGAAGCATTAAGTTTCAGTACATACTATTTTAAAAAAAGATATTATAGTTGATCTTCATTAGGGCAAGAAAATGATTTTGAATCAGAAAAGTAAAGATGTATTATGTCTTGGAAATATTAAATTTTATTAAATTGAAAAATTTAAAATTTCTTATTCACTTTTTTTAAAATGGTCAATTTAGTGAAAATTATACCTTTTCTTAAAAATTTTGTTTTGCCAAGCTAACGTTTTCTGCTAAGTAATATTTAGAGAAAAAAAAACCTTAATAGTTCTATTTATTACTTTTCAAATAATATGAGAAATATTTTTTTCTTTTTTGTCAAGAATATGTAACTAATCCTTTATCATGCCTTGGGAGATTTTCTTCTTGGAAAAACATAGCTGCTACTAAAGAACAAATATGGAAAAGGAGTTTGGTTCACGGCAAAGAACATGCCTTACAGTCCTGAGGAGAGACATCCAAGGAATCATCTCCCTTTTGTGAAAGCTTGGAGGCAGATAGTAGGAGAGTTTGCTCGTCTACCTTCAAAGTCTTTTTCTTTTCTGTGTATGCCATAAAATTCAAACATCTGACCAAGCAAAGAAGCATAAGTTATGGGGAAGGAATGACTAATAATAATTGCTGACCAAAACCTTCAAGAGTAAGAAATGACTGAGGAATTTGAAACACTTTACGCCAGTTTGTCCCTATTTTTCATTTATACAAGAATGAAGTCAATCTATCAATTTATTGATGACAGGCTAATGATTAAGAAAGTTCCATTAATCCAAAACAAATTTACAGATATCGTAAGCTATGCTGATACATACTATTTTACAGAGTAACTCATTTGGACTCCAAAAAGCCAGTTATGAAAGCAAGGCTCTGGAAAACTTAGTCTGAGTCTGTATTATGGTACCTAAGTTATTGGTTTTGATTTTTTTAAAGATACAGAGTATACCCAAGTTCCATGATTTTCATCTAAGATGAAAAACATAGTTATAAACTAGTTCTCAGTACATTTTTAAAAACATGACCAAATATTGGTTTTTCTTTTCTTGGTATTTTTTCCAGTAGTTTACTAAATTTGTTTGTTTTTGTCTGTCAAGATATATGTGATTCTGTGCAGAACTGTGACAATCTAAAATGAGATTGTTCAGAAAAAAATGATAACTATTTTTGGAATATCATTTGATAGAGGTACATTGCAATAAATGTAGTTCTTCAGTTAATATAAGTAGATTCAAAATACAGAAACTAATCTGAGGAACTGTCATTTCCACTTGGAATACAAATTTTTCTAGGGCAAATAAGCTACTAAAGTGCTTCCAAACCTACTTCAAAGAGAGCTGTAGCAAAATATAGAAAAAGCCATTGTTTTGCAAGAGCTTCAGAGAGTACATTGATCCATGTTTTGTACTAACAAACATTCTAATGTGAGCAAATAAAATTAAAATCAATTCTAATAATTTGGTCAGAATTTTGGAAATAAAATAATTTAAATGTTGATCAAGATAATGGACGTTCTGATAAAATTGCTGCCCATGTCTAAATATATAAGGACAAGTTAATACTGAATCACACACACAAAATCAGAGAATGGTTAAGGTTGGAAGGGACCTCTAGAGATCAACTAGTCCAACCTCCCTGCTCAAACAGGGACACCTAGATATTAACAAAGAAATGATTTTCACTTCTTGGATAGATACTAAGCTGAGAAAATTTACTGTTGGCTTAACTGTGAAAGTACACCCCAGAATATAAAAAGATGTCTAATACTGCTGTATTAACACTACTGTATCAATACTACTGCTCAGCGGTCACTGAAGCTGACTAGAAGTACAAACTCAATTACAAACACTTCACAGATGACTATGAAGCCAAAATAGACTAACACTCTCTGTCACTCTGACCAGGAGGGAATATGCAGAGGTTCATCAAGGCTCCTGATCCAATACCCAAGGCTAGTGGCTGAGGTAATTATATCATGTAAAATTTACACATCTGCTTTAAAGACTTCTATCTGTACTTAATTGATAATGTCCATAATGACAGCACTATAATTTACCCTCACCATAAATTTATGCCACTTATCTTCAAACACTAATTTTCTTTGTAATGTAATAAAAGCAAACTGAGAGAATGTAGTTAGAATAGAAAAACAGCTATAAAAGTAGCTCCATTTGTAATAAGGATACATCTAGAAAAAAGAAATATTTTATGCTGGTGAGGATCCTATAATTATAATCAGAGGATATATAGACTATGAAAAATAATGTAATTACCTAATCTGCTCTTCTGCTTTCTCTGAAATTTCTCTCATCTTCACAAAATTTTCTCTTTACATCTACTGCTTACTTTGTTTTCTTTTGTTCTATGCTCTGTTCTTTCAAAAAATACATTTAATTTCCTCATTAGTACATCCTCCACAAAACAGTATTACCTTCCAGAGGGAAAAAAAGAGAGATCTTCCCCTCTTCCTCCCTGCATTTTTCCATTGCTGCAGTTTCAACCTGTGTTATGCCCTCTTTTCCCATCAAGATTGTGTTTTCTGTCTACAATCAAAACGTTCTGAAGTAGGGATAGGCTTTTCTCTGCTAGTTACACCTAACAAAACCTAGTCATATGTTTTGAAAGAGTCTGAATAGTACCGCGGTGACTGATGAGCTCTTTAAAAGAGATGAGCATAGCAGTCTTTACAAAATAATAGATTTATGTACATTAACCCAGTTTCCTGTGCCCCCCTGGATTTTCTAGGTCAAAAGCGTTTTACATATGGAATACCTAAAAATGTATAAAAAATCAAGCTGAGTTTCCAGTCAGAAAAATGTTTTCTTTTTTCTTAATTTCAATAATAATAATAATAAAAGCTCTTTTCCCATAAGGTTAAGACAGAAGAGAGAATCTACCCTTCTCATCCCTGAAAGTCCTGAGGTATTGAAATTCAGCATTTGGTTTTCATTGTATCTTATCAGCTGGAGAAAATGAAAGTTTTTACTGGGATGTGTGGTGGAAACCTAAAATAAAGATACAAGTTTTTTCTATTTGCTTTCAGGTCTGCAGAGATGTGCAATTCCATTTAAATCCACCTAACTCTCTGAAAATATGTACCAGAAAGGAAATAGAGATCAGAAATGACTTGAAGTTAATTGTTTCAGTAGATGTGGAAATAAAGCAAAATTTCATTCATCATAAAATTCAAAACATACTTCAGAACAGACAGCTTTTTTTTCATCTTCCACGGCTTGTTTCGTAGAGTGGCAATTAGCTTCTTTTTTTCCTCTACCTCCTCTTTCAGCTTGGCCAATTCCTCCTCTGTAATCGGTTCCTCTTCAGAATCGGAATCGGACCTGCAAGTGAAAACAGGGAGAAAACCTTCACTAAATGTGAAAGGCAGAGCCACAAGCTTAGTGCCATACAACAGAGCCCCAGTAGGACCAGCCTCACACCAGAGAAATCTCATCACAGATGGAGAATGTGCAGCTCTTAGGAGATGTATCTGAATATCAGTAGCATTTGAAACTAAGTCATCCAGCCCACTGCATCACACTTCAGGAGAGAGGAGATACCACAACGACCATGAAGATATGTTTAAAAGAGATGAAGGCCCATGCCTGTTTCCACTAAACAAGGCAGGAATAATCTCAGAGCTGGGAATGGTTCACAGCCACATTGCAGAGAAGCTACCATTCATTCTGGTGCTGTTAGTAAGCTGAGGAAATAGTCACGGCATCACCGGACATGTTTTATTTATTCTTCAGGCACCAGTTTGAAGCATTAATGTAAGAGCTTGTTGATTGTCCACAATGTCTACTTTTCTAAAACCTATGCAGGTCTTTCTATTTTTATGTGAACAGTCTCATAGTGGCATAAAATCAATAATAACAGGTGTTTCCATTTTTTTACGCCAACAAATAGGAAAGTAATAAAAGAAAAATTATAAGACTTCAATTTCTTCCCTAAAAAGCCGATGAGGGAAAACTACCATTAACTGAGATCTTATTAAAAACAAATTGTTTGATGTGCTTTTATTTGCCTTTAGGGGATTGTTTGTTTTGTGCCCTCTGCCCCTCCTTTTTTCTTTTTTTTTCTTGTTTGGAATGCCTGAAAAGGCAGATTTTTGGATACAGCTTTCCATTTTTTAAGTACTTTGGGACCAGTACATTCAAACTTTATCAAGCTAGCACTTTTCAGGAACTTTTGCTTACAATTCACCTTTTTGAGTGTATGATATTCAAAATCTGATGTCTAAGCTGAAAGCTTAGCTATCTAAGTCACCTACTAGTGTGGTATATGTATTCCAGATAGATAACTAAGGGATTATAAACTTTTGCATCTTTCAAAACAGATAGCACAGCTGCAGTAGAAGCTCTCTGGAATGTGTTTCCTGCTACCAAAAGGACCTGTCAGAAAGCATGCTTATGAAAAAAATCATAACAAATACAATAAAAGCAAAATTCTTTTGCAGCATATCAGAATATAAACTTCTCAGTGTTCATTTATAAAAAAAAGAGTTTCAAAACTTCAGGCACACTGGAGTGGGTCAGCAGAAGAAAGAAAGAGATTCATATTTATCAAATGGCCTGCTATTAAGGACTCAAATGTTATTTGTTGAAGAGACTGTCATGTTAAAAGGTTGAAATCTTCATCCATAAAATTGTAGAAATTTGTATCTTGAGAAACAGTACCACAGAAATTGTGAATCTTCAGATTGAAACATACTTCCAGAAAGTCAATTTATTGCTATTGTACTATTGTGATGAGCAAATGAAGGACCTATATAAAGACTTAGGTCAAATGGTTGAAGGTCAATAAAAAGATTTGTGTATACAGTTGGGAGGCATTTTAATGTGAACAGGGTTAAGAAAGAGAACCGAAGGATTGAGGATTGTGATAGAGTTTTAAACCTTTAATTGTTTCATCAGATGCTTTGCGCTATGCACAATGGAGAGTAATCTGCCTGATTGTGAGGATTTCCTTTGACATAAAACTGATGGGTTGTGCAAAATTGAAATACTCAATTTCACAGGAAAGTAGCAAGAATAGTGGGAAATATGAGTGAAAGGTAATAATACAATGAGAAAAGAAGACGAGCAGAACAGAAGGGGTAATGTAGGGATAATATTTGTTCTTGTGCCCATGGCCTATTACTGCTTTGTTGAACTTCACTAACACGTCTACTCTGAAACAAACATCACATCTTTCATTTTTCAGTTTGGAAATAAGATAATAATCAGAATCCCAGTTTTCCAAATACCTTTAAAGTGTTTTTTAATTTAACCAGTTCTTCCCAAGAATGACTAAATTGTGCAGTCAAACTTAACCCTGTTGCAGAAGGTTTTTTACTTTAATTCAAGTGGTGGATTACTGTGAACTTCCAGCCAGGAAACTGGAATTCTATGTTCTTCTGCAAAACTTACAGAAAATATAATATTATTCTCCTGTGGAATAATATCATATTCAACATATTGTCTACATTAATTTTTCTTTCATTTTTCTTCTTTAATTTTTTTCCCAATGTCATAATTTCTTTTACTATGCTTTTTCAAACTGTCTGAAATGTCAGGAGTAAGAGCATAGCTTTTATTGTGATGTATCTTCATGGACTTACTAGACAGCTTACTATATTTCTTCCTCCCACCCTGCTATTCCATCCTCAAGGTTTGCCTGAATCACAGGTGAACGAATCATCAGTATGTTCCCTTTTGTACTTATATTATTTTTTGTTCTGCTATTAAGAATCTTTTTGAATGCTCTTGGTTATTTATAGAGAGCTGTCTGAACAATAGGTCACTTAAAGAGAGAAAGAAATGTCCTTTCAACCTTCTTACAATTCCTTTTTAAATGTCACTTTGTGATGCATCTTTTTAGCTTCTACTTTAAAATGAAAGGGCCATACTTCTGTGTGCTGCAGAGTTTTTACCGTACTTATAATTGCTTGTTCATCCAAAATGAGGCCAAGAAAACTTATAATCTTGTCAGTTGGTCTCCTAAATGTCTAAGAATGTAACGTTCTTTAGGTTCCTTCCGGAATAATTAGCTGTCCTCAGTTATTCCTCAGGTGTTATGCTCACTTCCTCAAGAACGTCCCAATCTGGTTAGCAGTTTCTAATTGTTTAGTTTGAATGTATGTGTTCAAATGTTCTGTTGTTCAGAAGACAATCAAAAATGTTTTGCTTTCATTGTTTTGTGTTTCAGTGGTCTTTTTTTAATTAACGCTCTGTAAGAGTTTATAGTAGAACATAATAACAATAAGCAAAGAAATATGGGTTGGCAGACTCAGTACTCTTGCCATATGAGTTTGGGAGATCGCACAGAGCACTAAAATTGGCACCACAGTGAAGAACTCACACAAAGACCAATTTTAGGCATTCTGGTGGGAAGAGGGAAAGGAATCGAAGTATACTGACATGGGACCATGGACACATTAATACAACAGCATGTATCGCCATATTTTTTTCCCTCCCACTCCTGCTGTATTCTCCGAAGGCGCCTTTGGAAACACAAGGAGCTGTAGCATGCACTGACTGGGAGAAGGGGGATGTTTTTCCCCGTTCATAGAAATAAGCTTTTCTAGCTCCATTTGCTCCATGATACATTACTCCCAGAAGTTGTTTCCTTTCAAAAACACAAAAATGGACAGGGAGCAGGAAAAAAGTAAAAAGATATTTTCAAATGTGCTTGGTACATGTGGAATCTCCCAAAGACCTCCACTTAAAATGCTTTGGAAAAGTGGCTAGGCATATTTCAGTGGGAGCTTTGGATAGTTTCACCTCAGTTCCTGACTCCTGCAAGGTATGGGGCTGATCTTCTGTGAAAAGTTGGCCCAAACCAGGCTTGGAAACAAGAACTCTATTTTGTGAAAAGTGTCAAGATTTTTCACACCAAGTTCCACACCAGAAATAAAACTAGACCTTGGGTGCTTGTTGAATTCTGTGCTCTGCCATTCTCTCCTTCAGATCCTTTTTCTGGCCCCTTTTCTTTCTCCAGAGCTCATAAATTTAGGGAATCTAACACAATAAGGAGGAGCCAGCCTCAAGTTCCTGCTCATTATGACTGGGTTTGTCTTTGATCAGGTACTGGTGATCTGGAAGGGTATTTCTGATTGTCTCCAAGAGTCTCACCTGGACCCTGACCTACGACACCTTCCTGACTTCACTCCATTGCAATGGATTCAGTTTTGTGGAAAGTTTCCATCTCAATCAGAATTGAATCACTACCAAAAAATAAAAACAAATATAAAAAATCTATCCAGCTCAAAATGGGCTCTAATGAGAAAAGAAGTTGTATTGAATCCCAGTATTTAACAGATGAAAATGAAGACAGGTTTTACATCAGACAATAGGTTTCATATTAAGAAAAAAATAAAAAAGGAATATGCTGAATTACCCTGAACCTGATTTCTTTTTGTCTTTTTTCTTCTTGTTGGCCTTCTCTTTTTTCCCTTTCTTATCAGACTTTTTATCCTGTTTTTTTTCATTTTTTCCTTTCCCACTTTTACATCCTTTCTCATCTTCTTCTTCTTCATCATCTTCCTTGGATTTCTCATTTGCCTGATTCTTCCTAGTTTTGCGAGATTCCACCTCTGAATCACTGCCCTCATTTCCAGATGCTTTTCCACGTCCTCTTCTATTTCTGTGCCTGCGATTCCCAGCTCTCCTCGGCACATCTTCATCATCATCCCCATCTTCCTCACCACCATGTCTGGCTCTCCCTCTGGCATGTCCCCGTCTGGTTCTGGATGTTGCTTTCTTCCTCTCTTTGTCTATCATGGGGAGAAAAACACAAGAGAAATCAGTATGTTGAAGGGAATCTTCCCTGCTTCATCACCCAAAACCCAATATCCAAAATTCAAACCCGAAACCTAACCCACACATAATGCAAAAACTTCTGAGTGTAGCCTCAGCATTATCCACACCTAGTTACCTATTTCTATGACATTTTCATAATTCTCAGTTGCACTGCCTTCTTTGTCAACACTGCTGCCACCTAAGAAAAAAAAAAAAAAAAAAAAAGCCCTGTTAGTGAGGAATAAAAGTAAAAACAGAAGCAATAGTTACTGTGTCCATTAGCACTCAGATAAGCAAGCCTTAAAGTGATGCCATGAAGAACATCCTCATTTTCTTAAGAAAATAAGTAGGAGAGAAAAACTGTGGGAAAAAAAAAAAAGCATCATACTTAGCAACATGCCACAATTTGGAGAAGAGAAGAAGGGAAATGAAAAATGGTCTCAGACTTGTTAAAAACATTTTTGATTTGTGTAGAATGCCTTGCTTAAGTAGTTTACTGTTATTAAAGATTAATACTCAGTTCATTGAAAGACTTTCTTCTGCTACCTTTTCATAAGCAGAGAAGTGGGCAGATCATTTATCCTGTACGCTTTGAAATCGGGACCATGCACATACGGAGAAATAACAATACTGTTCTCTTTCATATATATTATAGCCACAAGGATACTAAACATATATGGGAAAGATAAGCACGTGTGACAATTAATATTATCTCTGAAAATATTTATTTGAACATATTACACAGTAGCTTACATAGTCTACTGTGTAATATGAAACAGCCAGTTGCCTTTTTCCTAGAAGCCATATACCTAGTACCTGAGAAACCAGAAGCCAAAAAGCTTCATTGAAGTGTATTTGAGTTTGTAGATGTAGGGTAGTATTTGAGATACATCAGTGAACTATATGAAGGAATACATGGTTGTATGGGTTTGATGAGAACACTAAGAACTATTAGCCTGAATCAAACATTGTAAAACAGGGATGTCTGCAGAGTTTAAATTTCCTCCACATAGAAATTCATTATAATAGTATTATCTAGCATTTCCACAACATATGCACAATACTTTTTTAAGATTATGCAAAAATATTATCATTCAATATAATCAGCAGAATGTGAAAATAAGCGCTCTTTTGTTCATTCTGCCTTCTGTTGCTGACAGCAATCAGATCTGCATTTGACAAAGACCATTACATTGCTATAGAAAGCTTGCAAAGATGGAGACGGACACTTCTAAAGAGGTGTTTTGCATGGAACAATAGGACCATGGTCTTTTATTTGCAACTAATGCTTTTGCTGATCTCTTCCAGCCAAAGAAAAATTCTTGGGAAGCACTTTAATGATACAAGATTGGCTTCACTGCAGCTTGTGATAAGTGAACAAAATAAGCAAAAAGCTGGAGGCTTACCATATACACTGAAGCAGACATTAGCACTGGAAATATATCATGCAAAAATTGGCATAACATTGGCATAGGAGTGAAAGCAGAAACAAGGGATGATGCAACACGAAGATTTACGCCCATCAGAATGTAGTTGTTTGGGTTTAATTAATTACGACTGCATGGGGCAACAAATGTGCAAGTTTGAATATTTCAGGTAAAGCATAAAGCTAAATAAAGAGTTACAGATTGCTTCATGAAATACTGTCAGTATTACCAGATGGGATGTGTCTGAACTGCTAATCAGGAGTAGTCCTGTGTGCTCATTCTGTTTATCTATAAACTCAATCATCTGAGTGATAAAGAAAACATATTAAAAAAAAAAAACTACAAAAGCATAAAAATAAGTGAATATTAACTTGTAAAGATACTAGAAAACAACCAGTGATTACACAGAATCACACAGCTAGAAGAACAGTGCAACTAAAGACAAACTCAAGAAACACCAGTCCAACTTCAAAGATGTTTTTTGAAAAATGTAAAAATTATCATACCAGGCTGAACTTCAGAATGCTGTCATCATTCAGAGATAGGAAACATGTTCAGTATAAGTGTCTGAGCTTACTTTGCTTTTTTTTTTAAAAAAAAAAAAAGCCTCATTGGTGAGGCCACATCTGGAGTATTGTGTCCAGTTCTGGGCTCCACAGTACAAGAGGGATGTGGAGCTGCTGGAGAGAGTCCAGCACAGGGCTATGAGGATGATGAGGGGCCTGGAACACCTGCCCTACGAGGAGAGGCTGAGGGAGCTGGGCCTGTTCAGCCTGGAGAAGAGAAGGCTGAGAGGGGACCTGATCAGTGTCTATAAGTACCTCAAGGGAGGGAGTGCAGAGGATGATGCTGGTCTCTTTTCACTGGTGGCCACCGACAGAACTAGAGGTAATGGCCACAAACTGAAACACCAAAAGTTCCACAGGATCTTAAGGAAAAGTTTCTTAACAGTGAGGGTGACAGAGCACTGGAACAGGCTGCCCAGAGAGGTTGTGGAGTCTCCTTCTCTGGAGATCTTCCAAACCCACTTGGACGCAGTCCTGTGCCACGTGCTCTAGGTGACCCTGCGTGTGCAGGGGGGTTGGACTAGATGACCTCTAGAGGTCCCTTCCAACCTTAAGCATTCTATGATTCTGTGATTCACCACTTCCATGTTAAACAGAAAATTAATGTTAGGTCATTTGAGTCTTGATGCAATGCACGTTGCTTGGTTCATACTAAAAATTTGCAAATTTTGTCTGTGCTGCATCAAATAATGCAAACAGATTTTCTCTGTCTCTTTGCGGTATACCCAGAGAAGGAGAGATTTCCCAAGGACTTTAGGTGCGATGCAAAAAGCACAGTACTAGAATTTGTTTTTAGAAAAAAATAGAAGAGGCCATGCCCTCACCTTTGCCTGAGTACACTGCGCACTGTATTATGTTGTGAGCTTTGTCACGAGCAGAAGGGGAAAAGAAGGAGCTTTAATTGCCTTGAGATCTGTTCTGCATGCATTCGTGTAACCATTGATGGGTACACAGTTAAATAGTCACCCCCTCCTGCACCCACATTATAGCTCCCTGTAATGAGAATATGTCTCCCTGTAATGAGAGAACTGTAATGCAGACAGCCTGTATGATAATTGTCTTTCTATGTTTTGGGGTTTTGCTCATCTCTTTGAAAGACTGGTGACATTAATTGGTTGGGCATTTGAGCAGTAAGAGTGATAAATTATCATTAATGTGCTTAACACTATTACTACTAGAAAGCTACTTCAGATCATTAACTCTGGAATATTTTTCAAAGAGGAAAGCTAGATGCTAAGCAGTTCATAACTCAGCACTTCAGTTGCTTGTGGCAAAACCTGTCTCATTGAATTATTGGAGAAGCAACTCAACTACACACAGATTGCATTTCATGGGGAAAATAAATCTGAATTTATTTTAGCACTGAATTTAAAACATCCTCTATAAACCACAAGATAGAGAAACAGTAGAGAAATGTTCCTTGGGTACTCAATTATCACCCTGTAGTAAAACTGAAGAGCACTTTCGATGTCCGGCTTGATTTTCATGCAAGAACCAAAACATGAGAGTGTAGGATCCTTTTAGCTCTACAGTTTGTCTTCTGCTTTTTCAAACAGATCTTTGTATGATCCCACTTATGAAAACTTAATGAAGAGATATATAACCTTCACTGAAAGCAACTAAATCTCACTAAAGCGATGTCTAGAATTGCTCATTGTTTCAGAGAAGGGCTAGTCGGACCTCATTTCCTCACTGTATTAATATTCACAGGGCTAATTTTGGTCATTAAACTCTTGGTCAGCTAATTTGAGGTAATGTGACCTCAGAGCAAACTATTCTTCAGCTGTAATCTATTCCCAGATAGTGCTTTCTAGTACATGGATATTACTAAGTATATTTGGAGATAAAGTCCATAACTCAATCAGTTTCTGTCTTTTTTGCACAAAACCTCCTTTAGCTTTTAGTCTATAGCAAAAAATAAACCAACCACACTAGGCTCAGAAGCACTGAAAATCTGCATGAGCATATCAGCTAAAGACTGCAGTGAAGACAAGGTATCAAACGGCAAAAGACAGCTCAGAACAAAAATCAAAATGTTGTCACTTTGGTTGATGAGCAAATAGACAACAAAACAAAATTTATGGGCTCTGAGAAGCCTTCACTGTATGGGGCAGTTAATAAGCAGCCTTGCTCATCCTAGTCATCCAGGTTTCCTGACTTGGAAATTAGGACTGTGGGGATTTTTGTATTCTCATCTCATTTTCCCAAACTGTTTGGTAAATAATACAAACAATTTGGGAAAATGAGATGCGAATACAAAAATGGTAAATAATACAGATTTCATAGAATGCTACTCAGATTTCTTATTTTCTTTACACTTGTCTTCTTACTGACAAAATTCCTCTGATTTTTCATTGTGAGAGGGATAGTGATTCGTGGAATTAGCCCATAAAACTTGGTCTACTGCTGGAATACTACTGCTCACACTGCCACCAAGTATAACCATCTGCTGCAAAGATATCTTGTGTCTTTGCCTTGTTTTGGTATGGTTTAAAAAATACTATCCTTTTTTGTATGCATTATAATTTTTTTTTGCTGTATTATTTAATTTTTACATCAGTGAGCTAGGTCATGACCAGACAGATCCCGGCAAGCAATTATTGTACTTCCACTGGTTTTTCGCAGTACCAGAAAGATGTCATTCTTGACAGCTGAGAAACTGTGTGTCCAACACACAGGGACATCAGCAATGCAAGATGATATTGATCAAAGTGGTAGGCAATAAATGCATATGAAGATCCCCATCCGCAAGATGGAGATTACAGCGCAATGGCAACAAGTCCAGCTCCCCTCGTGACTCATATAGAAAGGTAAAGAATGACACTGAATACAGATATATGCACAAAACTCCAAACACACCCTTGAGCAAGGGCTGACACCCAAATCAAGCTTTAGGCCGGGCCCATCCTTGACACATCAGGTAGATGTATCTTGCTCAGTCAATAACACCTAAGAAAGTCCTAAGTGGTATTACTGATGCTGAAACATC